TAGATTTGTAATGTCCGCCTTGAGGTTCTCATGTTAAGAATATTTCATTTGCACCGAATTTAAAATTTATTTTTATTTGTTGCTATATAATTATTTACAACTTAAGATATTTATTAATTTTCGTTATAAAAAAATGAACAACTCAATTTTTGAATATATTTCATCGGCTTGACGGGGTAGGACTGAATTCCCATGAATCTCCTTCCCCGAATTAGGAAGTAAACATTTTGGTTGTTTCCAATCCCCGTTCAAGTGTTTCTATAATGTGTTACATACCTTTCGGCTGCCATTGAAGTTTAAACACTATTTCTCAAGGAAAGACTTGCGTACGTAAATTGTCTCTGTCAAAAAAACACACACACACACACACGTGCCTTCGAGATCCTGTGACGACCGGACAGCGCTTCCTTTCCCCATCCGCCGGCGTGCCCTCTTGGCCCAGCAGGGAGAGAGGGGGCGGATGTGCCATTTTTCGTGCGCGTCCACCCGCGGCGGGAAGCCGGGTGATTGCTGCGGGGCGGGGCGGGGCGTGGTGCGAGATGGTGCAGGGGTCCGCCCACGGCGTCCCCCTCCGCGTCGGTCCCCCCTCCCCTCCCCCCGGCCGCGTGGCCACTCGCCCACCCTCCCAGATCGTCGCGCCCCGATGTCATTTCGAACGAATTGCTGCGTTGCTCGGTCGAGCGCGCTACGGCTAGCAGATGCTGGCTATTAGTTTTGGACCGTGCGTTGATGGCTGCAGTATTTTTTTTCTTCTTCAATTCGGTTGAGGCGCTTAATTTACAGCTTTGGATTATTTTTCTTTGTCTAGTTCCACGAATAGAATTTTTTTTAATTGCTATTTTTTATAAACTTTATATTCCAACAGCTTCTTTAATTGCGTACACTCCAACAGTTTCACAATTTGCTTTTGTTCATCATTCGTTACATATTGCAACGTGTGTGGTTTCTCATTACTTTTTTTTCTCGAACGTTTATCTGGATGTTCTCTCTTCGCTAATTTATTTACGCTTCACACAGCGCACAAGAGTCTCCTGACAAAGCATTTTTTACAGTACGATCGCAGCTTCCATCCATCCTGTCGATGCAACGTTGCAAGGCTCGTCATGCCGTTTCTCTACAAATTGTTCCCCTAGCTGCTTCTCCGGCATCTCGTCTCTCCCTCCGTCGTTCCCCTCCATCCCTCCCCTCCAGAAGCTTCCCCCTCCTCTCCTGTGCCTCACGCCCCTGTCCCACCCTCACGCTGCGTCACGCTCTTGCCCCTGGCCACGTCTCGCCAAAGCAGGAACGCGCGCTTATATCAGTCCCGAGGATGTTTATTGCTGGACTATCGTTCCAGACCTCATAGCTTATTGCATAAGCATCTCCATAACAACTTGCGTTTCATTTCATTGAAAAAGCCATTTTGTGTAACAATTACTTCCATTACGACTATTATTAAAAGGATTAAGCAAGTTTTGTCTTTTTAACTAAAGATTCTATAACTGTTCCCATTTTCTCTCATTGTTTGTAACTTACATAATATAAAAAATACTGACATACATTTCAGTAATTTTTGAAAGATTTTTGAGATTACATCTAAATAACGGTTATGTCTTGTTATTCAGTGCAATTAGCTCTATACATTCAAAATGTTGAAAGAAAAAAATTTGAAGCCGCTCTTGAGAAAAACTTGTTTTTTTAAATTTGCCTTTATCACATTCAAAGTACTCCGAAATTTCTAATATTAAAAAAAAATATTGTACGTGATCTCTCTTAATATCTAATTTTGAATATTAAAATATCGCTATGTTCAATATTCTTGATGTAAGAAGACGTTGAAAAACATTTCAACTTTTAAATGTTAAGATTTTACGAGAATTCAACGAAAATGGGTCTTGCTTTAAATGAGGATAATTTACTCTCTCAGCAAAAACAACATTAAATAAACAAAATTGGAACCATTTTAGAGAATATATTCAAAATATTGTTGAGAATTCATGTAAACTACCCCCAAATACGAATCTACACATTTGAAGTGGCCGTGCATTAGCCTGGTAAATCAGGCATTGTCAATTTTGGTGAAAATGTTGCCAACGGTTCACTCGCATCCGTTGTTCAGAGACACAGACGTTTTGTCGTCAATCAATGTTATGGAAAAGGGTCCACAAATCGTGAATTGTGGTCACACTTGTTAGAGGATGCAATTTAATAAAAATAGGAATTAGGTTAATCCACTTTTTCGATAACAGGAACTTACAATACGAGTTTTTCTTCTAAAATATCGACGCATTTTGCTGTAACATAATGCAACTTTCTCTATGCTACGAACTAGTATGCGAGAAAGTAAAAAATATCTCTATTCTAATATAAAACTTATAAACACTTAAAATCGATTTAAACTTTACTTTATGAAACTAAATACTATTAAGATGCGGATTTGTATGTGTCAAATTATAAGACTACATTTGATTAGCACCACAATTATTTCTACTTAAATTCAAGAAATCGGGTCGTTGAATAAACTCCAGATTTGTGCATCAACTTCAACATTGCCATATATTTCGGGCTTCTTCAAACCTTCATCACCATTGTGTGCAGAATCCAGTCCCTGCGATCGTACTTTCACAGATGATACATAACTTCTCATAAACATTTACTCCACGATCATTTCAATCTTTGGCCCTCTTTTTATCCTGCCATCTGGTTCCACCTTCACATCTACCTCTGATGCCTGGATTTCCCATTTCCTCTTCTCCGATCCGGTTGATTTGTACCGTGTAGTTATTGCAGAATTAATATAGCATCCCTGCAGAGTGAGTATCGTTCTCCCCGCCCCGCATACTTTTTCACTCTGAATGGATCGTCCCCCCCCTACGACCGAGGGGAACGCACGGAGAGGGGAGTGTTCCTTACAGATAGGGTTGGAAAATCCAAATTACACACAGGAGACCGCGGGGTGGCTGTAGCACACACACAAAAAACAAATAGCTAGTTTGCCGTCAGGGCTTTGTTTCATGCCCGCAGAGCTCATCGGGTCGTGATGGCGGTATTCATCTTTCAGTAGGATGCTTCGTAAAGAGGGGCTGGGTCTCTGGAGATAAACCCGAATGATTCTCATGAATGTTGTTTATAATGTTGATTGATGCTTCTGGAATAAAACAGTGAAACAGCAGGGTGCTCTCATAAATTATGTATAATTTGAGTAACGAGCTGTTTGTCGTGAGTGGAAGACCTCGAGATCAGGAAGTTGCTCTTGTTACAGTGTGACAGTATCTGAGGAAACGCATCAGCTTTGAGGAATAATATTCCCGGGAATGTAATATAATGAAATAAAATTTCCTACCCGATAAAATATATTTTGACAATGCACCAATTTATAATAGAAAAATCATATATAAAATACATTAGAATAAACATATGTATTTGAAATGCACCAAAAAATGAATAAAGAAACCATTAGTTAACGATTTATTCAAGATTTCAGAACTTATGCATTCAAAATACCAAGTTGTTAGTATTAGTCATTTCTCGTGAAAGTGTACGATGTTACCGGTATTGTATAACGTTTCAAATTAACAAAAAATTAAGATTGTTAAGTAGTAACTAGACAACAAGGAGTTTTGAAAATGCGGTGAACGATCTTTTTTGTGATAACATTGATGCAATATATTGCGTTAATACAATTATTTATTTTGTCACATCGTAATGAATTAAAAATGATGTGGATACAAATTGACGATATACGTTTTCCAATTTTATGACATGAACTAAAAGGAATTCGGTTACTCCAAATGAGAACACACTTGCATCCGCACAGTTGAAGTCATCTAAACTTATATTATTAAACTTAAACTATGGAAATTAAGTTAACAGTTTTCAGAACCTTCCAAGTACTGTCCGTTAACTTCTGGAGTTTAGGTCCATATTCATGCGCAATACATACAAGAGGCTTAAAGCTACTTTCTGAAATCTGAGTTCACGCGATAAACAAATTATAAATTAACATGTTCTTGCTATGAATTCTTCAGTTAACTTCAGAATTTCACATTAAACGCAATTCTCCAAAACCACGCACACTATTGCAGCTATCAGTCACAGGCCTTTGAACTCGTTCAGAAACCAACATTATTTTAATTATACTTCCTCTCTTGGATTAAAGGGCATTCTAATCGCCACTAGCCTCTGAACAGTGAAGAATTAATGAACGAGGTCGCTCTCACCAATATGTTCGCTCCTTCCCTATTCTTTCCTTCGGACCACACGAATCTGACGATCTCTTCGGACGCAGCACAACCGCAGATTGTACGAGTAACGAATTGGAGCATTCAATTTCAACTCTACTATCAGTGTGAGGGTAAAGAAGCCACAAGTGAAGAGACGTCCGCCCCTCTTACTCAAGACAGAGGGATGCTGCATTGAGATTGTTGCCTTTTGAGTGCCAAATAAGGAAAATAAAATAATATTCCTTGTGATAATCCTTTAATATTTACCACGGTAACTGTTATAAACAATTTTTGAAACATGCGAAAATGTTCATAACCACTCCGCTTTTAAACATCTAATAGTCATTACTCTTTGTAAGAGTAGTGGCATGTTTTATCATTGCGGGAAGAAGGCTGTACTTTCCGCGTTGGATGGTGAAGATCCGGGCCTAACTTCACGTCCTTGAGCTTGCGGTGTTTCCCTAATCTCAGGTATTTCACAGCTGCTCGGCAGCTCCTCAGGTGGACAAGGTCTAGACCTGTGGCCAACAAGCATTGTGTTACAACGCGTGCGTAGATTAATATAGTATTTATGCGGAACTGTCAATGCTTTCTTGGTGTCGTTTAAGCATGTGATGATCGGGGCCAGGCCGAGTTTCTTCGAAAGGTCGGTCCCTTCATTTTGTCGAAACACAAATAAATATCCAACTTTTCTCTAGTTCCATCAGAATTTATATATACACGCGCATATATAATGTCTCCATGCATTATGAAACATTATTGCTTTAAATTTGGACGTAGAGATAAATTTTATTTTTCATTTGTTTATTAGGTGGAAACAAATTCGGGCTCTAATTAAGTCGAGCCTGTTGCAAGTTGCCGTACTTGCGCTCCGTTCCCCTTCCGTTTCTGGAAGCCCTGTATTAAAGCTGGCCTTTACATTTGCAAGAAAATGACGAGCACTATTTTTCGCAAGAAAAGTTGCCAATGTAAACTTGCGGCAATAATATTTCTTGATGTTGGCATATTTCTTGCTAATATTTCCCGGTCGTAATGTAAACTTATGTGCTTCCATCCTCGAAAAGCTATTGCCGGCTGTTGCTGGGGCTAGAATTGGATTGAGTTGAGCAAAGATATTGCTGAAAGAAGCCAATGATGACCACAGTCTGCATACGCAGGAAGTACGTTTAACGGTTGTACATAGACTGTAATAGTTCGCATTTTAATATGGCATTTTTTCGTAAAATCGGTGTGTGAATGTTAACTGCAATAAAAGTAGTATAAATATTCCCTCTATTTGTTGAATTATCAAAGGTCAATTTTTGATTCAGCATAGATGCCCCCTGATTAATTTTTTATCGTTAAAAATTATTGAGATATTAATTTTAAATCAATTTTAAAGATACTCTATAATATATCAGTTGTAAGAATGGATATTTTATAACTTTTGCCGAATTAGTAATTGCACTTTTTATTAAAAGAAAGTTACTTTGCTCCACGGAAAGAAATCATTTTGTTTTATGAAAAATATTCAGACACTTTACTAATTCGCACAAGCCCGCCTTTTTCCCTTTCTTCTTAAAATTCAGTCACACGTCCTACAAATCGTCGGCGTACTTCATCTCCTTGCAATTAAGCACAATAAGTTGCAACCGCAACTCGTATCTTCTGCATCCACTTAGTTATATGTCGGGAATGTGAGTGAGGTATAACCTCACCTTCATTTCATGCGGCCATTTCCTCGGCCGTCACGAAACACGGCAACAAATAGTCCTAATGTAAAGCGATCGGCAATATCTTGCCGGGACAGATCTTGCTCAGATCTTTCTGGCATATATTGCCCCTCCTTGCTCTGCTGTGTAAAGAATGACCGCAAGAACCAGAAACAAATTG